AAAGCAAAACATTTTCCAGGCGTTGGGGGTTTTTTAGCTTAGCTTTCACTGAAGTGCAAACGTTTTACAAACAAATCACATTTCTGAAAGACAAACAAACGGGTTTCAACGAAAACAGAAAGACTGAGGAATATCTAGACCAGCACGTTTTCTATAAACTTACCTACCCACTAGAGGAGATCTGTCTGTATCAATTTCGCAGCGCTGCTGCTGTGCTCTGCGCTAGAGCTGGCTGCGTTTTGTTGGTGGACAAATGAAGTCAACTGAGAAAACTGATAAAGACTGAAATGTTCCAGTGCAGACACCTTAGTAGAAGGATATTTTTAAATGATTGTGCGTATAAAAAAATCCGAATTCTGTGTATTTCTGTATTTGTCCACGTGTACAGGCAGGTGGATTCTGTGACTTCAAATCATCACCTCATACCACTCCAAGGACGCAGCAGCGGGTAAGCCAGTGGCACATTAAGCCTTATGCAATGTCTCACTCAAATTCTGCCCTACCCCAAATTGTGGCAAATCCAGTTCCAGATGGCCCAGCTCCTTGGCGGTCTCCTGCCAGGATGAGGCTGGCCCTCTCCTACCCTCCAGGGCCTGCCCTGCCGGGTTGCAAGCAGCCGCTATGGAGTGATTTGCTTCAGGTTAACATCTCCGCCATTGCATCCTGAAATCTCCACATTTCATCCTGGCCTGTATCAGCAATAGTGTGGCCAGCAGGAGGAGGGAAGTGATCGTGCCCCTGTACTCGGCCCTGGTGAGGCCGCACCTCGAATACTGTGTTCAGTTTTGGGCCCCTCACCACAAGAAGGACGTCGAGGTGCTGGAGTGTGTCCAGAGAAGGGCAACGAGGCTGGTGAGGGGTCTGGAGAACAAGTCTGATGAGGAGCGGCTGAGGGAACTGGGGTTGTTCAGCCTGGAGAAAAGGAGGCTGAGGGGAGACCTCATCGCTCTCTACAACCACCTGAAAGGAGGTTGTAGCGAGGTGGGGGTCGGTCTCTTCTCCCAAGTAACAAGCGACAGGACGAGAGGAAATGGCCTCAAGTTGCGCCAGGGGAGGTTTAGATTGGATATTGGGAAAAATTTCTTTACTGAAAGAGTGGTTAAACATTGGAACAGGCTGCCCAGGGAAGCGGTTGAGTCCCCATCCCTGGAAATATTTAAAAGACGTGTAGATGAGGCGCTTAGGGACATGGTTTAGTGGGTGGTGGTGTTGGGTTGACGGTTGGACTCGATGATCTTAGAGGTCTTTTCCAACCTCAATGATTCTATGATCTCTGTTGGTACTCCCTAAAACTCATCCGAGCTCTGGGTCTAGCGTGCTCAGGAGGTGCCAGGGCAGCTGCGCAGCGCTGGTGGCTGGAAGGGAGGGTGGGAAGAGACAGATTGGATGCGCTGACCTTTCCATCTGCTGCCACGTGCATCACCGGGGGTTTTCCACTAATTACAAACCTCTCATCACTTCAAACAAGGGTCCGTTTGTTGGGTCACGCAATGGGGAGGCCCACAGAGGTGTCAATTCATTTGTCAGGGAAAGAAGTCCCATAACAGGCAGTATTTAGGATGCTAGCAGCTAACTGGGATGCTCTGACCCTACGGCTACAGTTCCCCCCCCACTCACCTGAAATGGCTGGTGCTTTGGTCACGGGCTGAGCCAACATCTTTCTCTCTTGGGGTCCTCAATGCAATGCACAGGCCTGCAGCGTAGCCCTGACTTGTGGGGACCCCACCACGGGAGTCACGTAGGTGAGAAACACTGTGTAAGCAGGGGACTTGCTTGCTGGGGGCTGATTTGGGTCAGTGCCCTTATAGCCTGGACAACCTGGAGAAGGCTGACGACTCCAGCGAGCAGAGGATGCTGTGGGTCAGATCTGGAGATCTGTCAGGTAAAGCTGGTAAGTCTGGGTCACAGTAGGTAATTCAAGGCCAACAGATGCACTGAGCAGGGCCAGCTTCAGCCCCAAATCAGCACTGGAGACAAGCTGAGGATGAGCACGCACACGTGCAAGGAACACGGCTTCCCCTGTCCTGCCCACCTCTGCCCTCCTGGCACATACATTGCCCCTCTGCTAGCCCAGGTGCTAGTTTTCAGCTGGTTTGTTCCAATGATTCTATGATTCTAACCTGACCCTGCAATGCCAGTCACAGGGCTGCCCTTAATTAAAAAGAAATAATGCCAAATGAACTGGAGTTGTCAGAAGACAGGATCCCTTGGGCAGAGAGTCAGGAGAAGCCGCTTTCTTTAGAAACAAGATCGTTCCAGACCCAGGAGGGACATGGATGCCGGCTCATTGTACCAGGACATGGGGGAGGGAGATACTGTTCTCTAGAGGACTGAAATACTTTGGGGACACAGGAGCCAGCTAAAATGCACTCAGTGCCTCAAAGAAGCAGGAGAGAGCATCAAGCTCTGCATGTCCTCCTGGTAGAGAAGCCACAAGCACCAAAAAGGTGAAATAGCAAAGAAAGAAAGAAGCTTAGGAATTTAAAGCTATAGACCTGTCCCTGGCTGTTGCCGTCCTCCCTGCTGCAAAATAAAGTCAGTCCCAACCTGTAAAAGTCAGCTTTATCATGTTAAAACAAGCAAAGCATGCAGTCATGCAGCGTGCTGCCTGCCAGCAGCTGAGCAAGGGTTGTTCTGTCTTTTACTTGCACAGTGCATGGGAACTAGCATATTTAAATGCACAGCTCCCATTCATTTCAGTGAAGATTGAAGCATCTTGACAATTTCCCAGTAGTGACCTTTGGTAATGCCATAAGGAGCAGCACCCCAAACACTGAAGAGCCACGCTCCTCTCGTAAGGGCGGGCAGAGCAGCCAGGACCTGCTAATATTCACAAGACAGATACCAATTACAGGCACACAGGGGAATCCTTTTACCTTATTTAACCTCCTCGGCCCCAAGTGGCTAACATCTCTTTTTATGCTCCAAGAGCAGATTTAATCATATTGCATTAGCAGCTACACTCAGATCAACATTTTAGCCTTAAATGGTTCAAAACCAGTCTCAGATCTGCACATTATTAATATTGCAACAAACAGACTGACACAAATTTATCCCAGCTCTGGACATCGCTATCACTTGCTGCACGTCTGTTTAACAATGACTTCATCCTCCTTCGGCATAGCTTTCCCCTTGTGTTTTCCTCCCAGATGTCTCCTATTAAAACCAATGTCACAAAGTTTGACCAAGTGTGAGAGGAGAGGGAGAGGAGAAGCAAGCTGAAATACCAGCTAGAAATGGTACCCTTTAAAAGCTCTTACATTGCGCTGGCATCCAAATGGCATTTTCCCAGCCCTAGAAGGTCTCCCTTGGGCTACAGCCAAGACCAGGACCAGCAATTTTCAGGTCAGAGGGAAAGTAACGAACATCAGAAAAGAAGGGATGCATGCACAGTCTTGTTTTAGCTGCTCATGGAAGTGCAAATGCAAAGACAGCTCCTTGCTGCCAGCTCCTATTGCCCATTCACAGGGAAGAGCTGTACAGTTTATGGGCATGCTCATCCTTTCCCTGCTTCCTCAGGCAGAGGATGTCCGGGAACAGAGTGGTCCTTGCAGCCCAGCTCAGGGAACACGTAGCTGGCCCACAGCATCCCCTGGATGTTGGAGGAAGTGACCAGCAGGTCAATGACCAGCGAGGTTTCAAGACCTGATAAATATTCTCCACGACACCTGGGCTGAGATTGAGCCCAGGTGCACGAGCCAGCTCCTGGCTTACTCACCCCTTCACCCTCTCCCCCCTGCCCTGGGGAAACTGCTTTCCTGCTTTTTTATGTCTCCCTCTTGCTTGGGCTGGGGAATTCTCCAACCAGAAAGTCCCTGGCCCTGTGCTTGCTCCTACGCAGCGGGGCGAAACGCTCACCAGCACCCACCAGGAGCAGCCCCTCTTCCCCACGCGCCCCTGCTGTGTCCCAAGCCCCGTGTGACAGCATGCTTTAACCACCCACAGGTTTCAGCATGGAGAAACCAGGCCAGACAGGATTAGCCAAAAGCAAAGCCACAGCAGCTGCCCGCTATAGATGTGGGACCATGTTGGCATGGGCAGGATGAATCCATTGCAGCAAACTGAGAGGCAAAGGAGCCTTATTATGAAATGTAGGGCTCGGCTGCCTTCTTGGCCTAACACCTGCGAACACAAACCCAGGGCCAGCCTGACAGAGAGACCAAGTCTGTCAATTCGTATTTGAAAGAATGATTTTATAGAGAAAACCTGACATTTTACATCCTCCCTCTTATTCCTCTCTGTGTTAATAAAACATGTTGGTGTTTGAAAGGAAAATCTCTGGGTGTTTCTTATTAAGCAGCAGGGGGTCTGCAAAGTCTGCTAAATACTTAATTGAGTGTCAGCAGGTTCCTTTGGTAACTGCAGACCTCCACTGAAGAGACAAGAGGCGTCCCCTCTGTGCAGAGCAAACCGTAAAGGTTCACAATTCTACGCCTGGCACGGAGCAGAAAAACCCCTGCAATTTCATGCCATGTTACACTCAACAAAAGGCTTTCACTTGGCTAGCTGCCAGCAGATCCGAACAAGGCCAGGGTTTCAGTGTTGTACCCTGTAAACCTGCTCATGAGGAGTGGTCTGGGCTTGCCTTTGTCTGCATTCTTCAGGGGGGTTAAAAAAAAGCAAGTGTTTTTTTACTCATCTCACCCCCCAAATGAGCAGAGTATCATTTTATAGTGATCTGTTTGAAAAGGAAGGCTGGCCGCATCTGTTGAAGTCAACTGCACTGGTGCCAGGAACAGAAAGATTTAAATTGGGAGAGGGTGCTGCCTCTCTAAAAGCTTGATTTTACGCAGCACTGAACCCCTTTGCTCCCTGTGGACTCTGGGGCAGGCTAATTCTGTGCACCAGACTACCTGCAAACTCCGTGATCTGAAAACCCTGGGCAGGAAACAGCAACGACACTTGGAGAGGGAAAGAAATAAGACGGAAGAGTGAAAGAGCTGCCTTCTAGCCGTCATCTTCCATACCCGTGTTGAGCTGAACGCAGTGTCACCTCTGCGGCATCACACTTCATAAACTTTATTATTAGAGAAAAATACAGGTTTGCATCAAAGTGGTCATAAAAAACCAACCAAACAAAAACTCTTGACACAGGGAATTCAACACACAGACATTACACACATCCATGGGGACTGCCACCCCCAAACGCTACTGCATCTCTTCTTCCCTCTGGGCCCTGTACTCCTTCATGCTCCTCTGCAAACAAGAGCAAAGGACAAATGTTAACAGCATGTATCTGAGTGACTCTCGTACCACAGTGCCACCACCCTAGTCTGCGCTGTGACTTCTCCGTCCAGCGCCTGGAAAGGCTGAGGGACCTGAGAAGCTCTGACAGAGCTCCAGCTACTTTCAGAAGGGACTGAGCTTTACAGTCACTCCAAGGGAAAGGAAGCCAGGCCATGCCGCAGGTCAGGCAGAGAATGTCTGAAAAAACTATCAATCAGGTTTTTCACGTCAAAAGTGACTACAGCACAGGTCTCAGCCCATTCCTCTCCCCTCTGAGACCAAGAGACAGAAAAGGCCCCCCGAGCTCTTCAGGAATAGTCTCACCTCAAAGGTGTTGAGCACGTGTTGGCAAACACCCATCAGGTCGTTCAGCCCTTTCCGGAACGGCTCAACAGCAGGAAGGGCCCCTTCAGGAAAGAAGATGCGTTAGCGAAATGGCAGGTGCCTTCCAAAGGGGTTGGTAGCCCTCTCCCTCGCTGCTCTGAGGCACCGTGCCTGTTACCACCGTGGCCAAGGGCAGTCCCCATGATGGGGAGAGGCTCTTACACCACGTATGTGCCCACACACTTCCCTCCTACCAGCCCACCAGCAGCAGCCTGAGAGCTGAGCTCAGCGTGGTGGTCCAGGCTGCGGTGCAGGAACAGCAGACACTTACCCTGCAGTTAGTCCCATGGGGAAGGGGTTCCCTTGGCAAGGCGAACAGCCTCAGCACTAATTATTTTTAGGAAATTAAAGAGTCAGCAAGCACAAACTAGATACTTGCTTCCAGGAAGTGGCTTCTACATATCTGATGCTCAAGGGAACAGCCCCATGAGGAAGGAATGAAATAACTCTGCCCCTCTAGGCAGCAGACAAAGCTGTGGAGCTTGCAGGGCCTGGACGGAAGACAGTGGACTGAGCTGAAAGGGTTGGTGTGCTGGGAGGAGTGAGCGACTGCAAGAGGCTCAGAGTTGTCAGTGCTATCTATTATCAGGGAACAAAGTCCTCTTTGGGAGGCAAGTCAGAAGACAGCACAGACTGACGAGACTTTTCAAAAGAGCTTCGGGTCATAGCCCGATGACCAAAGCTGCAAGACAGCTGAGAAGGGGAAGCAGAAACAAATTACCTCATTGCAGCTACATATGCCAGCACACTTTGGCTTTGCTTTCCAGTCCCCGTGCTGATTTAGGGGCAGGTGGAGCACCCATGACCTGTGACAGTGAGCAGCAGATCTACTCTACCCCGGCACTACAGTTGGGTGCCGGCTGCCAGCCAACCCAGATACCTGGGACCAGGCAAGTCTGTGAGCTCCTCGGGCCTCAGCTGGCTCAGCCCTACAGTTGGGAAACAGAAGAGCTGTGGCATAATGGCTCGGAGCAGCCTCTCCAGCCGAGCAACAGGGCACAGCAGTTGCAGGTGGCTAGCAGAGAAGAGGGAGAAAAGTGCTTTTTTTTATTTAAATGACTCATGGCGGAAACCTGACGTGAGCAGGGGGATTTAGACAAAAAGAGGGCCCCGGACACAAAGGAAAAGCGCACACCCATACCTCTGGTCTGGATCCGGAAGTTGATCTTGCTTTCAGAGGGGTGCGTGATGCAGTAGCCACAGAACTCCACATCAGGGCTGCAGGAGGGGAGAGAGGAGAAGAGAGCAGTGAAACCCAGGCTAATGCACAGCAAACCTCAGGAAAGTCAGAGGCTCAGGCCACCCCAGACCTGCTGGGGCTCAGGATGTTTCTAAAATGACTGAGGGTCTTACGGGAGGGATATGCTGAAGGGAAACTACCTGTGTAACCTTATTCATATGCCCCCATCTGCCTCTGAGCTGCAGCTGGAGCTTTGCAGGGGAAAGACATGGCTGGCACGATCGTAGGCACTATCCTGGCACCACCAGCGGTCCACTGGCAGGCCTGCAGAGTTCACAGGGGATCCTGGATGCTTGGAAACCTCGCTGTACACAAACCTGTTGCAGATCTGCTGGGCAAAAGAGGCTGACGGGTCTAGGGCACTGCAAGGATTTACCGAGATGGTTTGCAGGCTGCATGGCATCTGCCTTCATAAGCTGAGGTGGTTGGTAGAACACGTGTACGCCCAGCAAAAAGAACAGCCCTTTGCAAGAAGCTGGCTGTTTTTCTTGTCACGGTGATTTATCAGAGGAATTCACATGACATTTGCAATGCAACTGTCATTTGAGATGATGCACTGAACTTCCTGCTGTAATTCTTCTGAGGCTTACCAGCAGATCTTCACAAACCCTCAGTGCTGCCCAGTTCGATAAAATCGGGCAACCAGGGTGAACCTATTTGTATATTTTGATGGGGGCAGCAGGATAATTAATTCCCAGCATCAATTCCTGCATCTCCACACAAGCATGACAGATGATCAATTTGCTTAATACCGGCTGTTCCTACCCTCTTTTCTGACAGCACTTGTCCCAGAAGGAGACATAGATACTGCCTGACCACGTGTACTTACATGGAGTTGCACATCATTTTACCCAGGGCCAAATAAGACATTCAGAAGTCTGTCACGTGTCAGACATTAAATTTCCTCCATAACTAACCATCAAGGAGCAGTGAGGGCTGGCTGTTCCCTAAGGGACAGGGAGCTGGGAGCCATGAATAGTAAGACAGCCAACAGGGCAGAGGCCTCAGTAGCTAGCCCTGTCCCACAGCACCCAAGCGAGGGAGTAGGGCGGGTGCGAAGCTGGTAGCCAGGGTCAGCCAAGGGTCCAGATCATCAGGCAGGTTCGTGGGGATGAAGCAGGTCCGAGGTCAGGCCAGGAAGTCAATCTGCAGGTCAGTGTCAGGTCAGGTGAGGGTAATGAGGGTCAGACACTACCCAGTGATCACCAAGCAGGTGCACAACAATGAGGAAGGGCTGAGGTGAGGTGAGGTCAGGAAGTCAGTCCGTGGGTGAGCATCCAGGTGAACAGAGTCCACAGCCCAGTACAGGCTGAGCTGGAGACCTGTACTCCTACAACATAGCTCAGGAGGGACTGAAAGCCCTGAGCTGAGCTTAAATGGGGCTCCCGGGCCCATGGGCAGGGTGTGGGTGGAGGCCCCAGGTGTGGCTGGTCAGGCCCACTAAGGCCTATTAGTGCTCTCAGGGTCCTGACACTAACAGCACAAGGAAGAAGTTAATCCTGTGAAGAGAGGTAGCAGGTAAGGAGCCTTTGGCACCATGTCTGATACAAAGACTCTAACAGGCACGCACAGAGGTAGTTTCTGATCATTTGCCTTGTTCCAGCAACAACTGAGATGCAGATCAGTAAGGAGAAGGCCAGAGTAGGAGACAGAGGTACCCTCAGCGATGCCAGGCACCACAGAAGCTCCACTTACTTCTTCATGACCATGTACCGGAGGGAGTTGCCGAGAGTGTGGTCCTCATCATGCAACACAAACGTGACACAGTTTCCATCTGTCCCATCCGGCTGGACCTGCCACAAATAGGGAAAGAAGAGGTGCTGTAAGGCTCTCTGAGGTAATGAGCACCAGCCCTAGGGTGAAGATTAAACTACTGCCCTCAGCTTCACCAGAGTAACTGGGAGGGGTTGTAGGTCTGGCTGGGCCATCTCTGTGGCTCATGTCTCAGGTGCTACAGTGTGACCAAGAGCACATTTGCAGTGGAGGGGAAGCTGCAAAATTACAGACCTCAGAGAAACCTCGGTTATCAAAGTGCCTGTGCATCCTTCCTCTTCACAGGAGAGAAGAGGAGCCCGAGGAAAGCTGCGGCTTCAGGACCCGTGGTGAAAGAAGCTGGGAGTGACTGTTCAGGTTGGTGTACCCCGGTTCCCCCCACCAGCCTGTGACTAGACAGGAATGAGAGGGACAGTTCCCCAGGGAGGAATGCTGCCTGTCAGCAGGGAAATCTTAAATCTTATCAGGAATGAGAGGGACAGTCAAAAAATCCCCAGGGAGGAATGCTGCCTGTCAGCAGGGAAATCTTATCCCAGCTCAAAAACAAAAGGACCTATAAGCCCAAATTCACATGCCTAGGATGAGCCTGGGGAGCCCACTGGCGAGCCTCACGCTGCTGAGCCCCACATGTAATGAACCCCGGAAAACAAAGGGACCTATAAGCCCAAATTCACACGCCTAGGATGAGCCTGGGGAGCCCACCAGCGAGCCTCAGGCTGCTGAGCCCCACATGTAATGAACCCCGTAGCGCGAGCAGCCAGCCCCTAATTGTCCTGCTGCTTTTGGCTCAGGCGCTCGAAAAGAGCTTCACCAGCTAACGCTTCCTCAGAAGGCTGGTTTGGGATCCCCTCCAAAACCAGTAAGTCACCTAATTAATCGCTTAGCTGTCAGAGGGCTGCTGAGCCTCTGACCTTTCCCCAGGCTCAGCGTAGCCACCGTGGAGCCTGACGTGCCCAGACAGCCCCCAACCGCTTCCTCTCTCGGCAGCAGAGAGAGGTTTCAAGGTTAAGTGTAGTGCCGGGCTAAGACAAGCGCCGATCTCTTCACATCCTGCCCGCAGCCAAATCTTTAACCACTCCAGGGGTTTTATAACCCCTCACATTTCTCCTCGGGTCATTAACATCCCCCCTAGCAGTCCTGTTCCTCCTTCTGCAGGTACAGCTGCCGTGGGGAATTGGCTCCGCAGTTCAGAAGGAAAACACAGACTGATTTCCACGGAGGAAGAGATCACCCAGAGCTGCAGCACAATTCAAGGGCAGGCTCCCCGCGCACCAGCTATCGCAGAAGGGTAGGTGCGATGCAGCAACATCACATCAGCAATGGGGACGTTGGACTCATAGGGTCTCCCTCACCTCCCAGCATCTCGCAATCCACAGCCAAAGCGGTAGGTCTCGCTGGTGATTAAACTAAGGCAGTAAGTGGCAAAAACACCTTCCCTCGGTGGGGAAGGACAATGCGTAAGTGACTCGCCACAGGTCACTCGAGCAGCCAGTGGCATGGATGAAACACCTGCTCTCCTGCTTGCTAGACCCAGCACCCTCTTCCCAAACGTAGCTGCTGGCCTCAGTCTCTCCTACTGTGAGGCCTTGCAAGGAAGTATTTATGAAAGTTATTAGCACCAGTCATACTCAAGAGCTCATTTTTTCCAAAGACTACAGGCTCAAACAAGAGCAGACTAGCTCAGGAGGCACCTGCACACCAGGACAGGTCGCCTGGCCCCCAGTTTGCTCCCTGTAACCGGTCACAGGGTTAGAAGTGCGCCCAGGTGCCAAAATCCCAAGTGCCCCCCTGCCACGAGACAGATAAAGCTCTGTCCATTGGAACAGTGACACTCTTGCAATTTGGTCACTCGACAGAGTTAGCTCAGCTGTAGCTCTGCACACACCGGGGCAAAGAGATGCTTTTCTAGACAGAGAGCAAATATTTACAGCCGAGTTACAAATGTTGCATAAAAATGATTTGAAAAATGGGATAACTGGGAGTTTAACACACAGTGCTGGGAGTTGCAGTGACTTCAGACTCCTTCCCAGAGGTGAAGGAACATGTGGGCATAGGAAGGAAGGGACAGATGCATCTCTGGCACGGTGGCTGGGCCAGCTTGTGGAGCTGCAGCAAGTGCCTCAGAGCAGCAATCCAATGAATTTAAGCTGCCCTGCCTCCTCGGCACAGCGTAAGCAGCCAGTGCATTGATCTGGCAGATGAAAGCCAGAGCATGGCTCTTTCACGCAGCTGTAAGGAACATATTGTGCTGAACCTGTCTGCTTCACAGAGACTCAATTTCTCTCTCCTCTTTCCTGCGGAGAGTCCTCGGATACAATTCTGGATCTCAGCAGGGCCATAAGCTGCTCTGCTTCTCACCAAGCCATTGGCCCACCTAGTCAGGTATCTTGCCTCTGGCACAGACGCTGTCCAATGCTTCGACGGACACCAAGTTGGGCGGGAGTGTTGATCTGCTCGAGGGTAGGAAGGCTCTGCAGAGGGACCTGGACAGGCTGGATCAATGGGCCGAGGCCAACTGTATGAGGTTCAACAAGGCCAAGTGCCGGGTCCTGCACTTCGGCCACAACAACCCCATGCAGCGCTACAGGCTTGGGGAAGAGTGGCTGGAAAGCTGCCTGGCGGAAAAGGACCTGGGGGTGCTGGTCGACAGGCGGCTGAACATGAGCCGGCAGTGTGCCCAGGCGGCCAAGAAGGCCAATGGCATCCTGGCCTGTATCAGAAATAGTGTGGCCAGCAGGAGGAGGGAAGTGATCGTGCCCCTGTACTCGGCACTGGTGAGGCCGCACCTCGAATACTGTGTTCAGTTTTGGGCCCCTCACTACAAGAAGGACGTTGAGGTGCTGGAGCGTGTCCAGAGAAGGGCAACAAGGCTGGTGAGGGGTCTGGAGAACAAGTCCTATGAGGAGCGGCTGAGGGAACTG